ACCACATTTTGACGTCATCTGTGATCTATTACTAAACAGACGCACGGCAACTTGTTAAGTATAAGCTGTGGGCGTCGCGTCGTTGTGTGATCTCCCATCCGTGACACATCATAACAAGGCTGCAATGTACTTTTTCATTTATTTCATGCCATGTCGGATCTTGATGAAAATTAATGTCTAATGACAATAGTTTATTGAAGTGTCACCTTAGGCAAATAATACAGTTAGTTAATGGCTGTTTTAAACCAGTAATATTCATAAAAACCAACGCTTATTTCATGGCATGTCGGATTTTATTGATTTTATACTTTCACTTCGCTGCACAGCAAGTCTGGCGAAACCCAATGAAAAATCTGGAATGAAACATTTGAAAAAAAAAAAAAAAGGAAAAAAATTGTATCCACCTTCCTTCATGGTATAGTTACTGGGGTTAAACTAAGAGGCAGTCACACAGTTGATAATTAACTTTCTTAGATGAAAGAAATGACGCCAGTCGCAGGAAGTACATTTTTAGTTCAGTTCCACTTCGCTACTCTTTGACAAAGCGCTGTCTTGGGTGCTCTCAAAATATCAAAGTGTCCTTGCAAGTCCAAAAATAAATCGGAAAAATGTTTTGGGTGAAATGCAATTTACAGAAATAAGTTTGGCGATTTTTCTTCTGTATTTCGCAGTATTTGACATGTAGATTACGTCTGTTATATGAATAAGGCTGGAATACAAATGTACCTGACCCTCATATCAACCCAGGCGCCTACTTAATTCATACCTATTATTCTACGCTACATAAAGAGAAAAAAAAAGCAAATGAAAAAAAACAAAACAAAACAAACTATTCTTTTATATTTTCACTTCGCTGCACAGCAAGTCTGGTAGCACGCAATGAAAAATCTGGAATGATACATTTCAAAACAAAAAACTGGTATCACCTTCCTTCGTGGTATACTTATTGGGGCTAAACTAAGGGGCAGTCACGTAGATGATAAACTTGTTGATTAGGTCGATCGAAGAATTTCAAATCGATATTTTTAATAATATAATAAGCTCAGTTATGCACGCACTCTGATTG